GTGGCTCTCCCCCGGGGCGGCCACGCTCGCCGCCTCGCCGAACCGCTCACCTCCGGACGGTCAGTGTCGCCACCGTGCGCCCATCTCCCCTCCGCTGCGCGAGAGTGGAAGCTCTGTGGCCAGGCCCGGCTCACATTTGGGGTCCGCCACTCAGCTGTGCCGCGTCCCACAGGTCGCTGCCCTCCTCTGCCTCAGTTTCCCCCTCGGCAACGTTTGCGTGAGAGCGCTCACCTGCCGAGGTTCCGTCGGCACCGGGCACAGGGGCGCACGCGAGCGTGAGCTGAAGGCCCGCTCCCCGCATCCCTGGAACCACCACAGGGGGCCGAGCTGAGCGGGCCGTCCTTGACGAGAGCGGCGTCCGACCTGGAAGGGGGCGTCGAGACGGCCGTCCCCGCCGACTCGCAGGGCAGCCCCGAGAGGCCACAGAGGCTCCAGGATGGGGACCCGGTCGTGGTGGGGCCGGGTCTCCCCACTCCCTGGGGCCCCGCCTGCACCTCTTCTTCTCCGCTCTCGGAGGAGCCCCTCACGTCGGTGGGGGGCCTTTCCTGTCACCTTGCGTGTGACCTTGCACGCGAATTCCTCTGCACGCCCAATGAGTGTGAAGCGTCCGACAGGGAGGACGCTGCCCTCCTCCCCAGGGGCCCTCGCTCGGGGTGCGCTCCCCGGGGCCGTGCAGATGGATGTGCAGATGGACCGGCGCGAGTCCGACCCCAGCGTGAAGTCGTCCAGGCTTCACGGCCGCCCGGCGCTGGAAAGGAGGTGCTCCCCCTCCACACAGAGCCCCCCCACCCCCACCCCCGAGCTCAGAGGAAACACGGGCACGGTTAGGGGGCATGGTTAGGGGGCACGGCGAGACCCCCATGCGGGGCCCTGCGCGGCGCCCCGAGTGTGACACGAGACGCCCGCCCGTCCAGGTCGGAGCCTCTGTGGAACCACAGGGGACGTCGGGCGCGTGGGCGAGTCCGGGCTCGCCCTGCACACTGCTGAGCTCCAGGCCGCGTGGCTCACGGCCGGTCCCTTCGGCCGACTCTCACGAGCGCCCCGAGTGCCGGCTGCGGAGGTTCGGGGCTAACACCCCCTCCCACACACACACACACCGTCCACCACCGGCGAGTCTGCAGCGGAGCAACTGCACAGGGAGGGGGGCTGCACACCCCGGGGCGGGGGAGACACTGATGGGAACTCGGGCAGCTCGCTGAGGTGGAGGCGGGCAGGATGGGTGGGCAGAGGCGCGTGGCGAAAACTAAGACTCCGTTGGACTAGACCGGACGGAAGGTCACGGAGACGCCGGCCAGAGCGAGGGTCTCAAACTGTCGCTTTTGTCCTTCCCAGGCCCGGGGACGGCTGGTGGGGCCGGCTGGTGCGCCCGGGAGGAGGGCGCTGGCGCCATCTAGTGGACAGAGTCCGCGGCCGGCCGGCGCTGACACCGTGTGGAGAGCCGCGTGCACGCAGCTAACTTCGGGGGCCCCGGTGTCGAGAACCCGCAAGTCAGTGTGACCGCAGCGGAGCTACGGGCGAGGAGAGGGAAGACACGTTCTGGAGACCAAGCCGAGGGGGTGAGAAGGCGGACTGGAGGTGGAGAGAAAGTGCGGGAAGTTGAAACGGGTGTGCTGGGCTGCCCCCTCCGGCAGCTGGGCGGGAGGAGGAGGCCGGCCTGCCTGGAAGAGGCCCTGGGGGGTGGGGGGGGCCACGAGGCGGCACGGAATCAGGAGTGTGACGCGTGCTGTGTCCAAGGCAGCACACAGAATTGGCTTTGTGAGTCTGGAGTTCAGAGACAAGGGGGTCTCGGCCAAAGAGGAAATCGGGGGTCCCCGGCTGAAAGGTGTTGGACACCTCAGAAACAGCCCGCAGCACCTGGGGAAGAAAAGGCAGACGCATCAGCAGCCCGGAGCGGAGGCCTCCGATCCTAAATCAGCCCCCGTGGCCGGGAGGTGCTGGAGCCACCTGGCCTGGCTGGCCGGGGACGCATGGGCCCTCGTCGCATTTTGAGGGCACAGCTACACTGTTTGGGCCCCTCACTTCATTCCAAGGTGTTTTTCTTGCATCTAATTATCGTCTAAAACTCAGGTTAATTTTGAATGGATTAGGGTCTAAGCGACACCCCGCCCCCACAGGAAGCTTGGAGCTGCGGGCGCCGGCCCTGCGCAGCGATTCACCACCAGCCCCGAGCGCCGGCGTGAGTGTGGGGGGAGGGGGGCAGGAGAAGATGACCTGTGTTCAGCCGACATGGTTGTTCTCGGGAAGGCACTATGGAAAACGTGACTCGGGGGGGTGAACACAGTCGTTCTGGGCAAAAAAAAAAAAAAATGACTCGAGGCTCTGGCTGGCGTAGCTCAGTGGATTGAGCGTGGGCTGCGAACCAAAGCATCGCAGGTTCGATTCCCAGTCAGGGCACATGCCTGGGTTGCAGGCCAGAACCCCCCGGAAACTGCACATTGATGTTTCTCTCTCTCTCTTTCTCCCTCCCTTCCCTCTCTAAAAATAAATAAATAAAAAATCTTAAAAAAAATACCTTCTTAAAAAAATGACTCGATGCATACATGCACATATCTATGTATATTTATACATGCACTATACACACACACACACACACACACAAAACACAGTTCTCGTCAAAAGCAGGGAACAAATTAACAGCAGCTGCTGATCACTCGCGAGCAGCTCAGCTCTGTGCAGGAGCAGCAGACGGAAGCATTTTAACAAGGAAATACATTTTAGCTTTCAGCTCTGCAGAATCTCACAGATGATACAGAAGAGAAACTTGAGTGCGCCGCCGTGCATTCTTTATGAAACCCACGGCAGGAAGCGCAACCATTCCATTATCCCTGACAACCCCGGGGAACTGTTGCCTCCCAGACCGAAGGTGATACATACGGGTACAATGTGGCAACATTTCCCTAGACGGTACTGGGCCCGTTCCTCTGCAATTACTGGAACCAGCATCCCTGACTCCTTTCCCGTGAGGGCAGTTACATCAGTCTCTGCCATGGTGGTTACAGTTAAGCTAGAAACGCATGTATAGATTCTTTTAACCAAAAAAGTAATTGCCAAGTGAACAGATACGTGCTGAGTAGCGAGGGCTTCGGAGAACACTTCGCACTTTACGCGGAAAGCGCTTTTCCGTGATGGGCTCGTGCAGTCCGCCGGCGGCCTGGCTGCGCCGCTCCTACCCTCACTTCACGGAGGAGAACCTCAGGTCTCACGGAGCTTACCAGTCAGCGCGGAGCAGGCTACGCTGCAGTAACAGACACATCTCCAAACCTTCACGGACCAAACACAAACCTGACGGGCCACTGGCCTGTCACCCCTTTGTGGCCTGAGAACTGTTCGGAGCGGCTCCTCTCCCAAAGGCCAGGCAGGGACCCGGGCTCCCTCGGCCCGGGGCCTGTGCCTTTCAGGGTTACTCTGGCAGGAGCCGGAGGAGAGAGTCCTGGTGGGGGGAGGCATTGGGGGGGCACATGAAATCTCGTTTGTGACTGCCTTCCTGTTCGTCCAGGAACGGCGCGCACCCTGTCCACTCACAGGCTGTTGGCTAGAGCAGTCACACGGGTCCACCGAACCGGAAAGGGACACGCTCCCGTGTGTCTGGGAGGAAGAGAACAGGACAGAGACTTCCCCAGCTCTCCCCCCAGGGCACCTGGGGCCAGGCGGAGTGAGCCCCCCCGCCTCCAGCGGCGCGGTCAGCGCCTCTGGCAGGGCGCACGGCACATCTCCCCACTGCTGAGTCCGTGGAAAGCACCTGTCTGGCGCGGCCCAGGCATCGGTCAGACGAGCGAAGGAGTGAATGGCGAACGGTTGCATCTCAGATTTATTTGGTCGCTGGTTCTTCTCCGAGGCTCAACGTGTATGGGCATGTCTTTCAGATCCATTGACTCGATTTCGGTCATTTCTGCAAAAACCTTACTTAGAAAAACAGGAACCTCTGAATGTCAATGCGGAACCAGCCACCAGTTAGTTCTATGCGGAACACTCGCGCGAAGCTCAAAGGAAATTAAGCCAAAATGATCAAACGCTGGTGATTTCCCCGGGGAAGTGTCCTTGTCCTTCTACGGAGGAACAGTCTGGGAACCCACATTGCTGAAATAGCTCGCCTCTCCCGTCGGCGCCCGGCAGGGGAAGGAAGGGGGCGGGGAGGAGCCAGGGCGCGCAGCTGCCCGTTTCCCCGCCGGCCTGCACGTGTCCGCGGATGGTTCGCAGGAGAAGGTGTGGGGTCCGAGCGAGCGGGCAGACGCGCTCTGACGCTGGAATCAAGGCTCCTCGGCCTCCTGCTCTTCGTCCTCTCCGAGTTGAACCAGGGGCTCCTCGGCCATTCCTGAAACCCCGGCGTCCCAGCCGGCCCTTCTCCACCGAGTGACGGGGCGCGTCCTTAGTTGGCCGTGCCCACGACCCTCCACGGGAGCGCAGGGACATCACCGAGGAGCCCCGCCCCTCGCCGTTCGGCCGAGTTTCCCCCCCGCGCGGCGCAAACTTGAGGGGCGGGAGGCTGTGCGCGCGCGTGTGCGCGGGGGGGGGGGTGTCTCCGCGGGGCCGGGCGGGCGGGACAGGGAGGGCCGGGCAGGCGGGGAGAAGCCGGAGCGCGGCCGCGATCCCCGCTCACCTGCAGGCAGGCGGGCAGGCGCCCTGCATCCACCCAGTCCCCAGCGCCCCTCTCCGCCCCGCCCTCCTCCGTCGCTCGCCCTCCACCCACCGCCACTTCGCGTCGGATCGCAGGAAGAACGGGGAAGACGGCCCCGCACAGCGGCCGCAACTTTCCGCCTGGCTCCGGGCTCTGGGAGCGGACAGCGGGGACCCGCGGTCCGGACGCGGGGCGGCGGGGCGATGAGCTAGCGCGGAGCCAGAGCCCCGCACAGCCCGCTGCGTTCCACGCGTCCCCACGCGCGTGCTCTCGGTCTGTCCGCGGGCAGCGCGCAGGGCGCAGACGCCGAGCGTCCTCGGAGCATGAGGCGCGACCCAGCCCGGGCGGGCTGCGCGTGGAGCGCGTGAACTGAGCCGCTCGGAAGATGAGGCGCCGCGCGGTCCTCCGCCAGCCGGGTCCCCGGGCCGGAGACCCGGGCCGCGCGCTCCTCTGTGTCCTCTGCTGCGTCCTCCCGCAGGCCGCCCCGCAGGTGCTCAGGATCGGTGAGTGAGCCGGGGCGCTCCGGGCCGCGGGCTCGGGGGCAGCCGCTGGGTGGTGGGGCGCGAGGGTGACCGGCGCGCGCGGAGGACTCGGGGAAGAGGCAGCCGCGTCCCCGCGTCCCCGCCAGGCACGGTTGGCGGGCTTTTCCATCTGGGCTCCAGCAGGGTCCCCGTCGCCCTGCGGGCTGCCCGCTGCGGCTGCAGGGTCGCGCGGCTGCAGCCTGGGGCGCAGAGATGCGCTCTCCAGACGGAGCATCTGGGGGATGTCGGCGCTCCACATGCGCAGCCCTGGTCCGTGGCCACCCGGCTCTCGGTCTCGCTGGCAGACCGAGTCTCGAGTAGAATTAGGGGACCGCGAGGGCCGGTGGGGGCGGGGGTCTCCCAGAACCTGCCAGCCGCCACCCCCCAAGTTTTCATCGCTGAGATGGGTTCCTCCGCAGGGAGTCTCCAAAGTCTGGAGGGCTCCCCACAGGGTGCAGGCGGCAGGCGCCCCCGGCTGGGGGTCGAGGACTGGGGAGCGTGCTCAGTCGGCTCCATGAGCTCCCACCCGAGTGCCTGCTCTGTTCCCCACTCTGCCCGCCTGGCACTGAGCGCGACCCAGTCCTCAGGGGAGGCCGCCTCGGGAAAGAGTGTGGACTTCCCCCTCAGCGGAGATGAAAGGGGCTGGAAGCTGCAGGCGGGGGTCCCGGAGCCCTGGACGAGGCAAAGAGGAGGGGGTGGTGCCGGTGTGGGTGCAGGTGCCGGAATGCACAGGGCAGACCGCCAGGGTCGGGGTGCAGAGGTGCGGGGCGGCTTCGGGGAGGCTGGTGGGGTGGGCGAGCTCCTCATCCCCCGGAACGCCCTCCCGCCCCAGCAGAAGCCAGAGCCCCTCCCCCCACAGGTGTCCGCCTCCCTCTGCTCCCACTGTGCCCCGCAGAGACCCTCGGAGAGCCACAGGTGAGGGGCGACCCCGGGGTCTCGCAGCTGCTCCAGGCTCCCGCCGGAGGGTCAGGCCAGGACCCATGGATGTGCTGGGGACCCTGAAGGGCACCACCCTCCCTCCCCTCCCCGCTCACGCCCCCAGCGGCTGCCCTGGGTCTGGCCTGCGAGGAGCCAACTCTTTGCAGAGACCCAGCTCCCGGTTCCCCTCCCCGATCGTGCCTGCTTTTTACAAAAAAAAAAAAAAAAAAAAGAAAGAAAAAGGAAGTTGACTTCTTTGACAGGAGCGTCCTGCCTGTGGGCGTGCGAGATCTGGTTTTCGAGGAAAGGCCCTGAGCGCCGACTTCACGAAAGACATGCGTTTCCAGGCCGTGGGCAATGACACCGTGCACTTCCAGATAGTTTAGGCTGAATGGGAAGAGCCCCGAGTTTCCCTGTTATGAAGAAGAAACCCCACCCGTAGCCACGGCAGCCCCGCGCCCTCCCCGCTGCCGCGCTGGGCACCACACGCACACTGGGCCCCGGGGCCCGGCGCCCACGGACCCGGCGACCTCGTGTACGGTCTGCAGGGACCGTTCTGGTCGTAGGAGGTGGGCCCGCCACAGCCCCACCTGCCTGCGAACGAACCTAAGGACACACCCCCCGCCCCAGGTCCGCGGGAGTTCCAGGAGGCGGCGGAGACCAGGGTCTAAGATGTGTCTGTCCGCGTGTCTGGGTCTGCGTCCAGGCTCCAAGCACTCGCACTCGTCCGCCCAGAAACAGTTTCCAAAGTGAAAACAACACTATTCACTGGCCTTAAAGTGCATGTGGCAACACAATGAGGTTCCCTTTCCTAAACGACGGCCGGCGGCAGCACGTGAAACCGCAGGGCCTGGGGGCGGCCGTGTGCAGGGCGGGCGGCTCACCCCTGGCCCCGCGTGGCCCGTGGTGGCGCCGGCACCGCGGCCCCGGCTCACGCTGGGGACCTGCTCACCCCTGAGTGGGCGTCTCGGCAGCGGGGGGAGCAGCTTGGGGGCCAGCAGTTTCTCTGGTCTGTTCAGTCCGACGCGGGACATAAAGGGTTAAATGAGTTGGGGATCCAAACGCCTGTGAGTGTGAGGGAGAGCGTGAGTGTGTAAGTGTGTGTGTGTGAGTGTGTGCAGGGCAGGAAGGAGAAGGATTAAAGTGCATCTTCATCACCTCTCGTCTCTCTCCGATGCACCAGTGGCCCCACGACCCCCCGACACAAAGGGCCCTTGGTCGCTGGTCGGAGCGTCCCGGCGGGCAGGGGCGCGGGCGCCGTGCTCTCGCAGGAAAGGCACTTGAGTGCTCGGTGGACTAATCGCTAGTCCGCTCTCCTTGCCGGAGCGTCTGCTCACACTCACACTCACACTCACACTCCAGCTGCTGAGGGCCGTGAAGGGAGGTGTAACGTGCGGGTGAAGTGCTCGGACATCGGGGTGCACACCCACCCCCGTTCCCGCACAGACACGTGTGTGGGGGCGTTCCCAGTCGGGAGTCCGGGGGCGGGAAGAGGGTCCTGCAGGTTGGAGGCGCGCTGGTGTGACGCCCACCCCCCAGAGGGCCCCCGGCAGCCTGCGGGGAGAAGGTGCCGCCCCTCCTGGGGCTTCTCCGCGGGGTGCCCAGGCCTTCCCGCCTCTCCCCGCCCCTCTCCGAGACACGTGACCAGCCAGCGAACGTCACACACGCACCTGAGCGTCACAGCCACAGACACCCCCTCCTGTGGCCGCACAGCCTTCCCCCGACACAGTGGGGTCTCGGCGGCCTCAGCCAACAGCAGCCCTGCCACCATCCGGGGGGGGAAGAAAGTCCCACGTGGGTGGCAATTCCTGGACGGGACGACACAGCGCGTTTCTACCAGCAACAGCAGCAGGAGGGCGTGCTGACGTAACCCAGGTCCCGCAGCACCTCAGCTCGGGCCCGGGGGGGAGGGCACCGTCTGCAGCGTGAGCGGCGGGGGGGCTGGGTTTGGACACAGCTGTGGACCTCGTGCTGCGGGACGGCGCTGGGGGGGAGGGGGCGCAGTTGCCCCCCGAACCACGTGGGCCTGAACCGCACGGGGCCGCTGACTCGGGGTTTTTCCGTGAACACCCGCCCGGCAGTGGGAGTCCGTGGGCGCGGCGGGCTGGCAGAGGGCACTGCTGACTCACTCCCACGGGCACTTGGGCTGCCTGGGGTTTCGGTGGGGTGGGGGGTGCCCGGATGCAATCTCTGTGGGTATGAAGGGACAACTAAGTTTTGGGGGAGTCAGAAGAAGCTAGTCACAGATTTCTGAGGCGCACAGTGGCCATCGCCCATAAACCTGCACCTCTGTTCCAGAGTCGCCTGTAGTTGTGCTGTTGCTGATGTTTTGTTGTTACTTTTTAAAAGTTACCGATACATTCTGTCTGATGGGGACTCAGGAGCTGCCGCGGTGTGGTTTCACCAGGCATCCGACACATTGGGCTCAGGGCTCCCCATCTGTGAACCAGCAGAGGCCCGGGCGCCTGCTCCTGCCGGTCCCAGGGGAGGGCCGGTCCCGGGGAGGGTCGGGCCGCCCTCCCCTGTGTCTGCGGCAAACCGCGGAACAGACACAGCACATTGCCCTCACGCACATGCACACAGCAGTGTGGAAACTGACACCAACAGTGGGGAAAGGTAAATGACAATACAATCGTCCAAATGCTTTCACTTCCTCAAGAGAGGCCCAGACGCCTCCCGCCTCGACGGTTAAGTTCGCCGCAGCACCGTTCTCGAGCGTTTACCCCCGAGGACCCCTGGCTCTGAGCAGTGTCTACCACCTGTGTGTTTGTTTGTCGCTCAAGCACACGACCTCAGTCGCCGAATCCCTTCATCTCGTTAGCTCTTCGGTCCACAAACACTTGCCGACCCGCCTGCCAGGAGCCGGCCGCTGCGGGGTGGAGGGCGAGGTGCAGGTCAGAGGGCAGCAGCCGCCGCCCCGGGGGCCGGTTTCGGGGGATTTACAACCCTCGTCAGGACGAGAATTCTTCCCCAGGCCTTCCCTGCGGATGGTTTTCACTTTTTGCTCCAAATACGATCCTCGGAGGGCTTCCAGCTCGTCTTCTGCTGTCGTTTGTTACGTCGCCGGCACCGTCGGAGACAACGGGTTCCAGCCCCGAGGCCTGGGGGACGGGCAGGGTGGGTCTGGGGGACGCTGGGCAGGGGCTCCGACCGCGGCCCAGAAAGATCCCTCTGACCTGAGGGCCGTCACCCCGAGACAGTGAGAGGGCGTGCTGGTCGGGATTCCTGCCGACAACCCGGGGAGGGAGCCCCGCCGCTTGATGGGGGGGCCGGGGGGCGTGTCGGGCCAGCGATGCCGGGTTTCTCCGAGTGGGCAGACTCCTGGCCTTACCGTTTGTCTGCATAGCTCACCTTTGTCTAGGCAGTTACTGCACAGGCCTGGCGCTCACACGGTGTCGACCTGCGCCGTCCCTGTTTCCTGCATGGCTACTGACCCACCCTTTCACCGAGAAGACCGTCAGGGGCGTGGTGGCTGTGCCTAGGTGCAGGTGCTCGGTCGCAGGTGCGGGGCGCTGAGGCCGGCCGCTGGCCCCTCTGGCCTCCGCCTCCTGGCCCGGAGCGGGCTGTGCCGAGTGCAGCCCTGTGAGTGCCCCTCCCTAACTGACCGCTCCCCGAAGCTGCCCCAGGCGTGAGAGACACGAGGGCTGGTCCTCGTCATGCGGGGAAAACCCTGCCCCGGGCGGGTGAGGGGTTTGGGTCGGAGCGGACCCCGGGCGGGGGGGAGAGGGGACAGTGGACGTTGTCATCGCTGGACCCCGGAGTTTCTCACACGGCGTCAGGCAAGGCACTCCCCTGCGGGGGGGGGGGCCGTTTCCCTCGGCTGGCACCTTCACTGGGAACGGCTGTGAGGGGCGCTCGGGGACTCGGCAGCCGTGGTGGCCCGTGTCCTCGGCCTCCGAGTCCTCCTCCGCCGCTGGGTCGCTGCTGCGCTCGCCCACCGCGCAGAGAACGGCCTCTCCGCCCACGCGTGTCCCGACGTTATTTCAGCCAGGAGAAGCGTGATGGGAGTGGCAGGTGGAGGGCATCCACTGCCCGCCTTTTCCCGAGGGGCTGACCGTGACAGT